CTCTGACCCCTCTGCCCCTGCCAGCTCCAGGTGCAGCTGCTGGAGGATGAGGATGGCTGGACACCGACGGCTGGGGCCCCACACTCGAGGTAAGGGGGCTGTGTCAGCACAGGGAGCAGTGTCTGCCTGTCTGTCTGTCTGTCTGTCTGCCTGTCTGTCCCCCATCTCTGCTCCAGCTGTTGGGGCTGTGCTAGAAGCCTCCCTGAGCTCACCTGGGGCTTTGGGGAGGTGGAGGAGCTTCCCTGCCTGTCTGTTCAAGGATTTTGCCTGTGCTGCTGGGTGGGTAAGGCAGACAGCAGGGCTCTCTGTGCTGCTCTCAGGCATTCCCACTCCATTCCAGGCCTCCTGCTCTGCATCTTGGCTCTGCAACTCTCTCTTCAGGACTCTCCTGCCACAGCAGGTGAGTTCTGTACCCAAAGGGAAATCTGAGGTGCTGCAGGGAGTGGGGCACAGGCAGAGTGATGACTTTGTGCCTGTCCTCTGCAGGCTGTGCTCTGTAGGACAGAGCTGCAGGATGGGTGAGGAACATTTTCCCATAAAACCTGTCCTTGCCAGGCAGTATGGCTGGAAGTGGGAGGGACAGGCTGTTGTGACACCCACACAGCGCTGCTGTGGTGGCTGCTGGCCCCCACCTGCTTCCTTGTGCTGCCTACTTGGTGGCTGCAAGTGAACCCTCTTGGGGACATCCTGTGGCCATTTTCCATTTCATCTCCTGGCCACAGTGTGCCAGATGCTTCCCACAGGTCCCTCTGGACTGTGCCATGGCTCAGGAAGGGACACAGGGCTTGCTGAGCACGTTGTCCCTTCCTTGGTGTCTCCTTCACCAAGCAGGAGCTTTTTGTTTTCCAGCGCACAGCACAGCTGTGATGGCCACCAAGGACACCTCAGCAGCCACCAGGAAAGCCTTGGTAGGAGCAGTGACCACCAAGAAGGTGGCTGTGACCACCAAGAACCCTTCAGTGGCCACCCACAATGCTGCAGTGGTGGCGGCCACCAAGAATGCCATGGTGGTGGCCACCACCCAGAATGCTGCAGTGGTGGCCACTGCCAACACCTCTGCGGCCACCAAGAACGCATTGGCAGCCACCAAGGACACCTCAGCAACCACCAGGAGTGCCGTGGTGGTGGTGACTACCAAGGAGGCCTCGATGGCCACCAAGAACAACTTGGTGGTGGTCAGGGCCACCAAGAATGCATTGGCAACCACCAAGGACACCTCAATGGTGACCGTGGCCACCAAGAGCAACTCAATGGTGACCATGGCCATCAAGAACACCTTGGCAGCCCCAAAGAATACCATGATGGTGGTGGCAACTACCAAGGAGGCTTCAGCAGCCACCAAGAGCACCTCAATGGTGACCATGGCCACCAAGAACACCTCAGCAGCCACCAAGAATGCCGTGGTGGTGGTGGCAGCTACCAAGGAGGCTTCAGCATCCACCGGGAACAGCTCAGTGGTGGTGGTCACCAACAATGCCACAGTGATGGCCACCACCACCAATGCCTCTCTGGTGGCCACCAACACCTCTATGGAGGGAGCAGAGGAGACCATGGTAAGGCAAGGAATGGAAAGAGGGGAATTGCTGGGCTGTTGCTGCCCCATGGACGGTGTCACCTGCCCGGCTGGTTGGTCACAGGAGGGCCATGTGGTGGAGGGGAGCCCAGAGGGTGGCCAGGTGGGGGTGGCCCCTGCAGGCAGCCAGGCTGTGCTTGGGGACAGCCCTGCAGTGACACCCTGGTGTCCCTCCAGCAAACCTGCCAGAGCTTTCAGTGCTCAGGAGAGCGGTGTTACCAGGATGGAGCCCATGCCAACACAACAGCCACCTGCCATAACCAGACTCACTGCCAGGTACGAGCTGCCAGGGGCTGCGCCAGGGAAAACTTCAGCAACCCACACTGCTCTATCAAATCTGTCTCCATCTCCCTTTCCTCTCTGACAGCCTGTCAGTAATTTCTGGTTTTTCATGGCAGCCCCTCTCCACACTCACTTTACCCTTTGCTCTGCCCCTTCCTTGCAGCTCTACCGTTTCTCCAGCACTAACTACACGGCGGGCTGCAGCAGGGGGTGCAGCATGGAGCCCTGCAGCACCAACAGCAGCAGGCAGCCCTGTGCCCTGGAGTGCTGTGCTGGCCCTCTCTGCCTGCAGCTCAACGCCACCGCCTATGGTATGGCCCAGCTTTGTTCTGCTTTATTCTGGTGGGCACAACCCAGAGGGGCTGTGCTGCTTCTGCCTCCCTTTTGGGGTCACCCTGTGCTGGGGTGAGAGGCAGGGTGGCCCTGGCAGTGCTAGTGAATCTGGCTCTGTGTGGGCTGTCCCAGCCTCACGGGGCTCCTCGTGCGTCTGCAGGTGACCTGGCACCCACCACCACCGCCCCAGTGCCACTGAC